TTTTTTTTTTTTTTTTGACACTACTTCTTTTGAATTACCTTTAAATTTATATCGGAGAGCATCTATTAAATGCGTATTTTGATGTATGAGTTGTTTTGCTAAATTTAGACTTGTGTACTAATTGTCAGTGTATAATGTGTGGCCTTTGTGAAATATATCTTTACACAAATTCATAACAACATTCGTTAATGTCGTAATCACTTTATCGGAAACTCTGTCACTACAAATACGAAAACTGTATGTATATCCAAACCCGCAACGAAACTTTTATTTCATAAATTATTCCTACTTTTATTCCGTGCCTTTTTTGCTTCATGTACTGTTGAATTTTCCATAAACGGTGAGTGTCATCAACTCATTGTTTGTAAAATAAAATATTCTAAAAAGAATCTCAAAACGATTCTTGCTTATAATTTTATGGGGGAACAGATGATAATACACAGGATCCTTGGAACAGTATAAATGTGTTAGGGCCAAGGTACGTATCATTTGTAACATAGAAATATTAAGTGTGGGAACGTCTAAACATCTTTGTATTTTGATTCAGAGCAAGGGCTACTTCAAACTCCACACAGGCGCCCCATACATTTAGGCCAATTTGAAGTGTGACGAAGACTTTTCGCCAAGTCATAAATACGTAAGAGTGTGTAAAAAACGGAAGGTTGGGAAAATTTTAGAATTTCTAACATATTCCTGATTAACGCTTACAGTGGTTTACTATGCATATGATTTGCACTACGTACAAGATTCCTTAGTAATAGGATTAGATCATAGGTGGTTATTTTAACTCGACCGTGCTTGTAACTACCTCTAACTTGACTAGTACTATGTATTTACAATGTCGTGGTTTCCTTCCTTTACACATGAGTTATGTCAGTTTAATTGGCTGTTCTGCTTTTTTCATCATGGGTTGGTTGTCTTCGATTGGCAGTATACAAAGTTTCGTCACTGGTCTTTTTAGAATTCCATCCTTTGTTATGGCCCCACATGCAACAGTCGAATGTGTTCGTGTGTTATGAGTAACTTTGTGAAGTGGTGCCAAATTTTTTGTCATATGGTATGGTCGTGTGTGTGAATACCACCCTGATAATTCCATTCTTGTCCAGAAAAATGTTTAGTGACAGTAACTTACTCGACCTTGGGAGCCTTTGTTTTCAGTGCCTTGAGCTCAGGTTGGAAGTGTTCTGAAGTGTTAGTTTCGCTAAGGTCATTGCAGCATGTCTGAGCTCCGTAATTGTTAATGCAGCAGTACTTGATTCGTATGCTATTCTCAGTTTTGCTCTTCGTGTCTTACTCGCGAATCGCAAACAGTAGGCCGTGACCCTAATCAACCGCGTAAAAGTAGAAATTCTTGTGATGAAGCTATGCTTATCGTCAGTGGTTGAAAGAGTCGTGACTTGATAGATTTCTTCCTCCGGAGGCTGGCCACAAGCTCTCCGGATTGTTAAACAAAACGAGCCCTGACCACCAAAGTTGGGTTTCAATTAAGCGTTTTGGCGTAATTTCCTGAGATCAAATCAGCTGGATTATGATCGGAGAACACATGTCTCCAAGTGTCAAGATTTATGATGGATTGAACTTCAGCGACTCGATTGGCCACGAATTGGTCTTTCATCGCAACAAGCAACAGTTGAATCGGTCCAGAAATATTCCTTCGCGGATATTCTTCTTAATGCTAATCTCACCTTGCTAACCAAGTTTGCCAGTAGGACAGCTCCGCAGAGTTCTAAACGTGGTAGTGAAATTACCTTTAATGGAGCTACGCGAGATATGGCGCATAGCAATCTCGTTACCCATTTTCCTATGTCTTCCTGAGAGCGCAGATATATGCATGCGTCGTACGTTCGCTCTGATGCGTCTAAGAAGCCATGCATTTCTATCCTTGCTGTGGAATTATTAATTAAGGCGCGCCGTAGGATGATTAAGGTTTGCACTTCTTGCAAGTTCCTTCGGTACTCTGCCCATTGTGTGTGCAGTTCTTGGGGAATCGACTCATCCCAACTTGATTTTAATTGCCAAAGACGTTGTAATAGTTCGCTGTGATGGTTATGGGTTCTAACAGGCCTAGCGGATCAGTCAAATATCTTTGCTATGTCTGATAATATACTTCTTTTGATTACACGTTGGCTTGTCGTGGAGGTGATCTTAAATTGTAGATTGTCGGTGGTTGGCGACCACAACGAGCCTAACGTTTTCCAGGTTAGACAAGCCTTGTCTGTGGGAATTCGATTCGTCATGTTTGTGTCTTGGTGTAAAATGTCGCGGTGGTTGGATCTCCACTTCCATAAATGAAAACCGTGCTGCGCTAGGATCCTTGTTAGTGTATGTTTCAAGTCCCGTGTCTGAGCAATTGTTTCGGCTCCTGTCAGAAGGTCGTCTACATAGAAGTCCTCTTGCATGACCTGGCTGGTTTGAGGGAACCGATGTGTTAGGTTCCTATGTCATATAGTACCCGCGTTGCTATAAAGGGGGCTGATGACGTTCCGTGTGTCATCGTATTGAATTCGTATGTGTGCATTGGAGTGTTTAAATTTGATCGCCATAAGATTCGCTGAAAGTGTCTGTTATTTGGGCTGACTAGTACCTATCGATACATTTTTTCAATGTCGGCCGATAGGATTTGTGCTGTCTGAATCTGATTGAAATCGAAAGGAGGTCGCTTTGAATGGTCGGTCTCACCTGTTGTACATCATTGATGGATAAGCCCGAGGTCGTTTTTGCAGAATCATCGAATTTTAGTGCTTGTGCTGTTGTCTTTGGTGACGGCGTGATGAAAAAGATAGTATGCGGTAGTGCATTGTCTATAGGTTCGTTTAATCTAGTCTAATTGTTCGTTTAGGAAGGCGACATATTGTTCCTGTAAGCTTGGATTTTTGCGTAACTTTCGTTCTAAGGCAGAAAAGAAGTCGGATTTCTGCTTGCTTGCGGAATTGCCCTAAGTCCCTTCTGTTTTCCTTGAATGCGAATGCTTACCTGAAGACGCAACTGAAGTCGAGAACGAATAGAACAAAACTAACACTAGATTTACGGGATGCGGTATTTTCACGCATTTCGAATTTCACGAGGAAAATTACAGAAACCGTTTACATTTTTCTTCTACTACTTGTACTGACTTTTATCCATTTAACGAATCAAGTATATATCAAAATTCATTTTCTTCAAAGCTTTCTAATTTTGAAAATCTTTACGTGATATACGTAACGCGTCAATTTGACGCAATCGTAAAGTAAGCATTAATGCTAGTAAATTGGTTTCACTCGTGAAACCATTGCTGCAGTAACAAATATAAACGTGATAAAAGAGTTAGTTCCTCAAGAAAATAAACGTAAATAAAAGTAAATATAAACGATGCAGCGGCGATACTTCGATATTTCAAATCTGAAGTGGATGACACTGTTTATGTCCTACGTATTTACACTGGAAAATGCTGATGCAAATAAAGGAAAAGCATCGGAAGAGAAAACGAAACTCAGTAAATGAATCGCAGTCGTATTGTGAATTAGTTATTGAAGAATTTCAGTTAATCTGTGCATTCAAGAAGAAAGTACTAGTGCATTTTGAAATTCTATTTTATACTGTTTCGATAAGTATGATAGGAGTGTTCTGGCACAAGTTATGAAGAAAATGAAAATGAATTATCGCAAAACGAAGATGAAATTGAGATTCCCAAATTAGATGAAAGTGGACAAACAGAGAAATCGTCAGACAGTGAAGTGGGAAATTTTCGGAATTTTCGTCGTAGCAGAAAAAGAATACGCATTCCATCCGATTCTAAGTCCGAGAATGACGCAAACATTCCCAGATCATCTCAAAATTTGGATGCATTTTGCGACACAGAAATTGGGATCGATGAAACAATTTGGAAGAAATTGGAAGTAGGCGGATCTAGCGGTAGACCACTTATCCATACGATATTCAAAAATGTCGCTGGTCCTACTAGCTCAGCAAAAATATGTTAGAACATATAAAATGTTATACCGAAGCACAGGCATGTCGTGTTTCAGAAAGTGATTAGACAATTTCAATCACCAAGTTACTAGCTTTTATTGCAATTTTGTATGCTCGAGGAACATATGAAGCAAAGCTTCTTATTCGTGGTCCAAGAAATGGGGACTCGCTTTCTTTTCAAACACAATACCCAGAGATCAATTTATGCAAATTCTTCGATTCATACGATTTGATAAAAGAACAGAACGATCCGAACGTTTACGTACAAACAAATTTGCATTGATATCTGAAATATGGAACAAATTTTTATACACAATAGTCAAAGCTGTTGTAAACCCCACGAAAATGTTTCGATAGACGAGCAACTGTTTTTTACGAGAGCCCGATGATGCAGATTCGCTCGATATATGCCAAATAAACCAAATAAATTTGGCATAAAGTTTTGATTGGCAGTAGATGTAAATTCAGAATACGTCATAAATAGTTTCCCTTAACTGGGTAAAAATGAAACGCGAACTTCAACACCCTTGGGCCCGAATTTGTAGTTTTAAAGTTAGCCGAACCATATTTACATCAAGGCAGGAATGTAACAACTGGTAATTTTTGTACCAGTATTCCTCTTGCGAAAAAATTAATTGAAAAAAAAACCAGTTTAGTTGGAACCATCCGCAACAACAAGAGAGAACTCGGAACATTATAAATCGGAAAACTGCATAGACTCACCGTCTATAAAAGTAAACGGAAGCTAAAGGTATCGTTAATAAGTACTAAGCATACATTTGTAAAATTGAGAGACAATAACAGATGCACCCCAGAAATGATTGCATATTACAATGAGACTAAATTTGGAGTAGACATTGTTGATCAAATGGCGCAGAAATATACAGTCAAAGCAGCATCTTTTCGGTGTCCTCTCCAAGTATTCTTCAATATTTTGGATTTGGCAGCAATAAATGCATGGATATTATATAAAGAATGTACTGGATCAAAGTTGCCGTAGAAAAGGAAAACATACGAAACAATCATCCGTCGCCTGGTACTTCAAAAGTAACGCAAGACCTGCCAAATAGAATATTGCAAAAGAAACAGAAGTAACAACACTTGTACAAAGTGTAAGAATATTTTACGTGGAAAGTGTATAAACAAAATTGAGTATGTGTGTAATGTTGTATAATGTTGAATATTATAAATTTTATATAAATATATATTTCATAGTTTCATTTAGTAGTGTATAATTATGTTGTTTCTTAAAGAAAAAGTGTGATTTTGTTCGTGCGTCAAATTGACGCATATCCGTAGAGATAGGTATATAAGAAATGTTCGTAAACTTAGTGTTAAAAAAGTAGATCTCTCGATCAGTTCCTTCTGGACAACAATCTCATCGTGCCATAGTTCTTCTTGGAAAACCTCACCAATAAGCAATCGACGTGAGTGTCTCAATCAATCAGTCACTCATCCAAATATATCACTCGATCACTAAGACTTCGTTTAAGTCCAACTTTAAAACGTCATTCAACTTCAACTACCATCGTAACTGTTCGTACGGAAAGTGAACGAGTTCTAGGAACTAAATGGAATCTGCCAATATCAAAGATATA